TATCTTGGAAAATATGTCACAGAATTTTAAAAAAGTCAATTTTATAATGATGTCAAGCATCACTGTATTATAAAGCTATAGTCTATATTCTTCACCCCTGCCAGGTCTCTCACACATTAATACTATTAATCATAACTGGGACTAGAAAAGAGGAAACAGTTTATTGAAGCATAGTGTACCAAGCTCTACATTTGGAATTAGAAGACATCTCTTCAAATCCTAGCTCTGACCTATATTACCTTTGTGATCATAGTCAGCTTATTTAACTGATTTTCGCCTCAGTTTGCTCATTTGTAAAAGGGGAATAATATTATTTCCATTATCTAACTCACTAAAATTATTATCTACTACTTTCTCATAGCATATGACTAAGACCCTAGATACTTGAAGATAATGGCAGTAGAGGGCAAGGTTTGGAACACTGGAAAGGCTTTGATTATTTGTAAAATACTATTGATACTACACCACGACATCTCTTCCAATTGTCTCATTTCCACTCCCAGGTCCATCTAGTTCAGGCCATCATCACTTCTCATCTGGACCATTTTAATGTCTACCAAATTGGACCCATTATTTCACCAGTGTGGAAACCAGGGCCAATTCCAAGTTAACATTGACTGACAGTCTTGCAGTCTCCCTAGGATCAGAGAAGTGACTTGGCCAGGATCATACTGCTAATAAGCATCAGAAATATTTACTTGGATCCATGTCTGGTACACATTTGGTCACTGAAGTTCCCTTGCAATGGCTTGAAATTTTAGAGTAACTGTCAAGTTTCAACTAGAAACAAATTGCTTCAAGTCTTTCTTTTCCAATGCATCTTCCACATGGATGCCAAAATAATCTAATGTAAGCCCAGATTTATCCATGACACTCTTCTGCTCAAGAACCTTTATTGACTATTGCTTTTAGGATAAAATGTGAACTCCTGATTTGAGCTCTAAAACACTTCCCAGTATGGCTTCAGCTTCCTTTCTAGTCTTATTATGGATTATGCCTTCTTGCCCTCTCCTTATACTCTGTGTTCTATTCATAATGGTCTTTTGGCTCTTCCCTGAATTGGGCATTCCATTTCCTACCCCTCTTTCTTTGCACATATTGTCCTTCATGCTTCAGATGTCTTATCTCCTCACCTCTACCTGTTAGAATCCTTCCTTCAAAGCTCAATTTATGTACCGTCTCCTTTGGGAAGATTTTCTTGATATCTTCTAGTTGTTAGTGCTTTCTCTCTGTCCTTAAATTATTAGTGTTTGAGCACGCATATGTGTGTATGATCTGTTTATATGCTGCATTTCTGCAGTAGAATATAAGTAAGCTCCTTGAGAGCAGGGACTATTTTTCAATTTAACTTTGTATCCCCAATATCTAGCAAACTGCCCTGCACATGGAAGGTACTTAATAAGTACTTGTTGGATTAGATAATATTATGACTCTGTGATGGATTCTGTGATTTCTGTCAGAAAAGTGTCTTAAGCTTTGAAAGTCTCAACACTAGATTTTATTTAAGTAATACAATTTTCAGACATAGCATTCCTCACAGACACTATCCACCAAGTCATTGAGACATTATAATCTGTTTCAAATGAAGGAAATACCCTTCTCCTAATCCCCCCGCCCAAAACAAACAAACAAACAAGCCTCAACACATATCAAGTATCTAGTTTCCAGAATTGTGAGGAAAGTGATTTGTGTACTATATAAATGAATTGTTATTTATAGGATCAAAAGGTCATAGATTAGAGCTGGCAAGGGACTTTAGAGGTTGTAAGGTTGAACACTCTAATTTTAGATAAGAAAGCTAAGATCTAGAGAAGTTCAGTGACTTGTCCAAGATCACACTAATGATCTCCTCTGATATTAGTGACATGGATATAATCTTGAACTTTCAAAGGCAATAACAACAAGATGTAAGCTTTAGTAGGTCCAACAAAACTAGAAGGTCTTAGCCCAGTGATGGTCTGTAATGTGTTTGTCATCCAAGGACAAACCCAGCAAAGCTTGGAGAGGCTTCTCACCAGAAAGTTGGCTACTAGGTCTTGAAATCTTTTGATATTAGCAACTAATAAAACTAAAAAGGTGAGATATGTGTTATGGAAGGAATTACTCAACTCTAATGAGACGACAGATTCTTTATTTTTACTCTTATTCTACTACTGAAAGTGGTAAAACAACTAAGATGTTGTGTTCTACTAGTGGTAGGTCACTAGTGACATCTTCATAAAAGAAGTAAAATATTTTTACATTTTTATTTTGAAGATCTCAGGGGACTTCAAATTTATAAATATACTTTTATGTTTCTAAGGATTTTTTTTGTGTCCATGAATACCTTAATACTGGGAAAAGTTTCATGTGGGTTTTGTAATTTGATTTGTTTTACATAGTTGGAAATTTTAAAGGACCTGTTAATTCTGAAGATTTAACATTTTTGTTTTACTTAATAAGCATTTACAGTACATTTATAATGTAACTCCTGGACTTTTGAAGGCATTAGTGTGCTGCATGGCAATAATTTGTAATTAAACTAGTGTCAAGTGTCTGAGGCCAGATTTGAACTCAGGTCCTCCTGAATCCAGGGCTGGTGCTCCTGCACCACTGTGCCACCTAGCCACCTAGCTGCCCAAGGACCAGTTATTTCTAAAGAAAATTTTTATATCTTTTATTTTCTCCTCACCTACCTTTCCCAATGTATCTCTCTTGCTCTGTGCTAGTCCTTATAACAAAGAATGAAAAAGATGGAAAAAAAACCAAACTGGTCAGCAAAACTGACCAACATATTTTAAAAAGTCTGACATAAATTATAAGCAGTGTTTGAAACACATGGTGCCCACCTCTGTATAGGAGAGGAGGAGGTTCCTTTTCATATTTCTCCTTTGGGGAGCCACTATTGGAAGGACCCATTATTTCATCAATATGGGAACCAAGGCCAATCCCAATTTATTATTTGCAGTCTTAGAAAGTCTACTAAGAATCAGAGAAATGACTTGGCCAGCACCATACTGCTTATAAGCATCAGAAGTGTCTACCTGGCTTCATGTCTAGTACACATTTGGCCACTTTTTTTTGCCTTTCAATGGCTTGAAATATTAGGGCCAGCTGTCGAGTTTCAACCAGAAACCAATTATTTGAAAATGTAGAATCAAAAAATTCTGTATTAACAATCTTTTATGGTTGATTGGTTACTTGGTGAATAAATTTTTATTCATCTTGATAGCAACATTAGATATCTCTAAGTAAATGTAATTAATTTAGTTTTAACTCACTTATTCCTACCTCCACCTTAAGAATTAGAGATTGATAATAAAGAAGCTAACATCAATATATTATCCAATCTTAAAGTTAGGAGGGAACTGATAAGATATACCTGAATCCAGCCTATCCCTGAAAAAGAATTCCCTCAGCACTATAAGTGACATATGGTCATTTAGCCTTTGTTTGAAGTCCTTCAGTAAAAGAGAACCAATTGCATCCTTGAGGTGCTCCATTTAATTTTTGAATAACTCTCATTGTTAGGAAATTTTTTATTAAACCTAATTTACCTTTTTAGCAGTCCATTTCTCTTAGTTTTTCCCTCTGGAATCTAGTTGGAAAAAATATCATCTATCTCCCAAATAATAGCCTTTCAAATAATTGAAGAATTAATAATCTAAATACTTTAAAAGAAAAAACTAATTTAATTACAAGAAGAACTATACAGTAAAACCATTTGGAACTATAATAAAAATGACAATAAACCAGATATACTTTTTGACCCAAAATTACCGCTACTAAACATTCTCCAAGGAGGTCAAGAGAGAAAGATCCCTCCTAAAAAAAATATATATATATATATTTATAGCAACTCTTTGTTGTAGCAAAGAACTGGTTCAAAAAAAAGGATACCTTTGAATTATCTGATGGCTTAACAAATTGTGATTATATGAATAAAATGGAGTATTATCAAAGTGTAATCATTGTGACGGAATAATTTATAGAAACTTGAGAAGACTTGTTTGAACTGAGACAGAGTGAAGTTAGGAGAACCAGAATAGTTAAAATGTTTGCTGACTTCAATAATGTAAAGGAAGACACCATTGAAAGACTTCCAAACTCTGATCAAAGAAGTGACTAATCTTAACTTCAGAAGACTGACATTGAAGCATCCCTCTGCCTCAAGATAGAGAAATGGTAGATTGTAGTTGTGGAATTAGGCATAAATCTTCAGACTTGACTAATATATTGATCTGTTTTGCTTAACTTTGTAACTTTGTCACAAAGAAATGTTTTCTTGATTGGGGAAAAATAACCAGGACGTGGTAATGATAGAAAAAAGCATGAATAAAACATTTTGAAGTCATTTAACAACCACATAGGTTCATTTAACTTAGATGTGATTATAGGTTTTTGTTTTTGTTTTGTTTTTGATAGCAAATACTGATTAAAAATATATTCATAGCTTCTTTAAATGGGTTTCCATGCTCCCAATTTTTGTAATATCAATATTACTGAATATTTTAAAGGATATTGATCTGACCCTTTTATTTTCTTTGTTGGTGTTGAGTATTTATATTCTTCCGTGTGCTATGTTCCATTGGGGTTACAGAGAGTCAAGACACAACTGAACAACAATAATTTATATATTCTGGTAGAATATGTCGAACTTTGGAACTAAGTAATTCTAGAAAAAATATTTCTTCATATGTTTTTATTTTAAGAAGATGGAAGTTTTCATATATTCAGAAATTTTGAGGGTGAATGATATTTTTTTACCTTATGTATTAAAACTAAATCTTTCCAAAAGCAGGTATATGATATTAATAGCCACATGTCATTTTTAAATCCTAGCAGATTTATAATTTTTAATTAGTGAGTGAGAATTTTGTAGAAAATTTGTTAAACCTTGGTGTGTAATGGCCCTAATCTACTTTTACAGTCAGTCGGTATTCTTTGTTTAATAGCCTATGGCATAAATTGAAGTTAATTATCGGGGCTGACAAGTAACTCTGTTTTCTGTCTGCTTGCAGAGTCTCTCTGAGGCAAAGATGGAGCTGAGAAGAAAAGATCAATCTTTGCGTCAGCTCAATAGACATCTTACCCAGCTGGAGCAGGACAAGCGGCGACTAGAGGAGAGCATCCATGATGCAGAGAGTGCCCTCCGCATGGCAGCAAAGTGAGCATGCAGACCTTGGGGAGATCACTTAAAACAGACAAAAAGATCAATTCTTACTTTCATGAGCAGGGTTTTAGCCCTGGATAATACAGTGTTAGCAAACAAAAGTACAGCTCTCTCTCTTTGAAATTCACTGCTAGAGCCTTAAAAAAGAAAACTCTTTGCTCAACATAGTAAGGGTGTATGCTAAGGAGAAACTTCAGAAAAGCATAAAAGTCCTGTACAGTCTTATAATACACACATAGTTTTGGCTTTCTGTAGTCATTACCAAAAGAAACTCTTGTGTTACTGAGTATGAAATATTTGATTCATCTATTTAAAAGTAAGATCTTATTTACTAATCTTTCTCACATAGTTCTCCCAAGATTGGTCTATGTTTATATTATCTTGTACTGTAGTTTACAAAACATCTGTTTGAGTAAATATTAAGGAAGTTATGAAGATCAATATGTTTATTATGGAATTTTTAGTGACAGTATCATTATGTAGGAAAATTTTTAGAAAGAGGCTTCATTATAAATTTTGATTTTTCTGACCTTCTATAACAATTGAAATCTACTTTATGAAGAAAAAGAGAGATTGAGAAACTGCTTAAATGTGCAAAGTATATATTTTGTATTTTTAACAGTAATGAAATTGAAATCAACTATAAAACTGAAACTGAAAATTTTTCTTGGTACTTGTATTTTTCTCTCCCATAAAATTCTAAAGAAAATTAATTTTTCCTTGTATAATGGTATAATATAACAATCACCTGCTTAGAGTATATAATAGTATTATGAAAATTTATGTGGTAATGACATAATGTCTTATGACAATATTATCCTCAAACTACCCTGAAATAAGAGAGAAACCACCAGTTTAGATCTCAGGGAAAGAGGTTAGCAATCTTTGGCCTTACATCTGTAGATTCACTCCTGGCTAGCTTTGGAGAAATCACTTTTGCTCAATTAAAAGATTAACTACAAAAGGCTAAATCATATTACCCATGTACAAATAATAATTTATATTTTATGAATATATTTGTATGTGTGTATATGTGTGTGTGTGTTTTGTCTACGTGGGGAATGCTATCATGTAGAATTCCCTCTGTTGATAAAAATCAGCAGCTTATTTCTAACTTACAGTCTTAGAAAGTTATTTGGGACACTAAGAAGTTAAGTAACTTACTGCTTTTCACATAGCCAACGTATCAGAGGTAGGGTTTCAATTCAGATCTTCCTAACTCCAAAGCCAGCCTTCTATCCCCTTTGTCATCTGCCCCTCAACATGTCTACCGACCTTATCCAAACAGACGTATGTGTATGTGTTTTTATACATATGTAAATATTCATATATAAAGGCAGTATAAGGGAGAGGCAGAATGGCATAATGTCTATGTAGGCATGATACAAAATCTTGTAGGAATATAACATTGTACACCCATGTTTTTATAGGTGGAAGTGTTAATTTTAAAAATTCATATAACTTAATAGTTTTGCCTTACAGTTTTCCCAGTTCTCTAGTTAACTAACGGTAACTCTGTGACCTTGGAAATGTCATTTAACCTTTCTTAGTTTCTATTTCCTCAAGTGTCAAGTGGGGTGATTAGAACTCATCATCTCTATTTCTTTTCCAATTCTATCTTTCTCTGATTCTAAGAAAATTAGATTATTAAACTTTATTTGTAAAGTCTTTTTATGCTGATGAACAGGAAAACTCAAAAACATTGTTATTAGGATTTTGTGCAATCTATATTTTTTATTTTTATACAATCTACAATCTATGTCCCTCTAATAGGAGAGCAATGCAATAGTAGCTAATTTTTATAAAATATATTTTTTTACCTTTAGTAATTATATTCATTAACTATTTCAAAAAATTCATGTATATCTAATAAAAGAAATACCATTTCATGATAATTTCACATTTTCCTAGTCAAAAGCAATGATTTTTTTTTTTGTTAAATTTTTATGACGCAAAAGATGATACACATAAAATAAAGGGCAAAGTCTGTTTGGGTAATATTTGTATTCGTAATGTATTGGCACAAGTGTGATTTTTAGAAGTATTTTTCATGAGAATAATTCAGTCTTTAATTTCTTTAGCACATTTTTCATTATGAACAATATGCTTATTTTTTTAACTTGAATCCTTAAAGTCTTATCTTTCCCATAAAGTTCTCCTAAGTAATTTGGCAACTTAACAGTATTAATTAAGCAGGGGGAGGAGCAAGAATACTATTAATATAGTCAGTCTACACATTTTTGAGAGAACGTTAACCTTTATTCTTAATAATAATTATTTATATTAGTTTATTACTGCTTAATAAAGCTTTTGTTTACATAAAACATAGTCTTCCTTTTCGTTTTCTAGAGACAAAGAATTTGTTGCTAATCATATGAGATCAGTGGAAAGTGCTCTTCATAAGGTAATAATATTTATTTTTATAATTTTATTCAGCTTTGTTATTATACCATTTACTTGGCTTTGTTTTATTAAAATATATGAAGTATTTTTGCTCATTTAAAAACTGTTTTTAATAAATTCTTTATTAATTAGTCATAAAAGTGCTGTATTATTTCAAAAGACATATATTTCTTACTTTTATTGACTCAAGATTTATACAAATTTAAAAACTCTACTCCTTGAGTATTCTTTATTCTCTTAATAAAATTATAGAAATGAAAATTGTCCCCAAACTGCTATAATTGCACTTGAATCCTTTGTGATCTTTGCTGAATGAACTAGAGGTCATTTAAGAATTTTCACATATCTCCTAATCATAAAATGTTTGACCACACGCCCTATCCCATTACCACCATGGAGCCTACTGCCCTAGAAAAGAGACTTAATATATTTCTTTTGCTAGTACTTAGATACCTTAGCATGACTATAAACTTATTTAATTTAAATTTATCCTCATCCTTTGTAAAAATGAAATAAAATTAAAAAAAATTAAAAAAGGGAATAGAGATAGAAAATATACTTAAACTAGTATCTTTTATTTTAAAATTTATACATTTGAACTGTTGATGTCTTTATTTGTACATTTGTACATGTATATATGTGTGTATGTGTATGTATATAAATATATACACATATGTATGTATGTATATGGATATATGTGTGAATATGTATATATGTATGTATGTGTGTATGTATGTATGTGTGTATGTATATGTTAGAACTGAAAGAGATTTTAAGTATCTTCTAGTCCATTATCATCATTTTATAAAAGAGGTAACTGAGATCCAGATAGATGTAGTAACTTACCTAAGATTATACATCTAGTGATTGGCAGATTTTAAATGAAACCCTATTTTCTTGACTCCCAATCTTGTGTCAAAGGCTGGCTGAGGATACCCAGCCAGGCTCGAGGGCAGGATGAGGAACTGTGGTTTCCATTCACTGATCCTTAGTAGGAATGAGTCTGTAGAAGGAGCTGCAGAAGAATGGGAAGAGCATAGGAAGAAATCTTGTGGTCTGTATCAAGGAGAATCACTTCATAAGAATTCAGGAAAGCGTGTGTGTGTGTGTGTGTGTGTGTGTGTGTGTGTGTGTAAACATGCCAGGAAATAGCAGATAAGGTTATATCAGGTAACTAGGAGTGGGTGTTTGTTGGCAGGAACAGGAGGAGATTATGGAGCTTAATATTGTTCTAGAGGGCAACTCTGAACACCGTAA